CAGGTTCATCGACGCCAACGCCATCAACCGTGCCAGGCCAGTCGACGCCGTCGCCGACGAGTGAATCGCCGACCACCATGCCAGGCCCGATGACGCCGACGCCGACGAGTGAGACGCCGACCACCGTGCCAGGATCGTCGACTCTGACCACCGTGCCAGGCCCGATAACGCCGACACCGACGAGTGAATTGCCGACTCGTTGGCCAACGACTGTACCCGACCCGTCGACAATGGTACCATCGTCGACACCAGATACGTCTCAACCTCAACCGACGTCAGTTGGACCATCAAATTTGCCGACGACCGGTCCGATCACAACTGCACCGTCGACGAATGTTGTTCCATGTGTGTCACCGCTGCCCGCACCGACAGCTTCGTCATCACCAACATCGAGCGCGGCGAGCCCAGTCCCCACCGAGATTCCGCTGGTGGCCCCAAGTCCACCGCCAGCAACGATGTCCCCAATTCTCGATATACTGCTGACGGCGACGACGCTCGCTCCGTCGACGACCACGCCGTTGTCCGATACGGTGGATGAACTCTTGCTGCAAACAAGTCCTCCGTCATCTGTACCTCCCGTTGTTACTGCTGCGCCGGCAGTCGTCGACCAGCTGTCCCAACTGAGTGATCTTGGCACAACGGTGCCACCAGCGACGGCCGTCAACAGCACGGTGCCGCGCAATGATCACAGCAATGAGTTCAGTCGCTCAAGAATGGCCAAGGTGGACGCGCAGGCACTGGCAGCGCTCACGGCGGAGACATCAATCGGCAACAATGACATGCCGTGGCTGCGCCCACTAATCTCGGCGGTTCTTGGCACGACTGTGCTATTGCTCGGGTTTTTCCACTTTCAAGCGATCCACCCCGAGTCCGTGGCGCCCGATGCGTACGCTGAGGCGCTATGGCAGCCGAACTCGTGGGAGCTTCCGCTTTTTCTGAGCGCACTCCAGCACGCGGCAGTCCTCGCGCTCACCAAGAACAACAACCGCCCGCAACTCGTCTACATCCGGTTTCTCGACAACTTCAGCTGGAGTATTTTCCTCGTACCGTCACTCTCAGCCACGCCCGCGTCGTCAACAGCGACAACCGTGTCCACAGCAGTCTTGAGTCGCCGCCTCACGTCGTATGACCCCTCTGGCTTTGTGCAGTTTGCGCTGCGGTCCGGCGTTCGCGAGCAAGACTGGTTTGTGCGCTTCATGGCCACAGTACTCTGCGTGATTGCACTGCTGCTGCTGGTCGTCGTTGCAACGGGGGCGTGGGCGTACGTGGCATCGCGCGCTGCCGTTGGATACGACTCCGAGAGCGCGAGCGCCCACTCGCGCTATGTGCAGCTGCGGACGCTCTCGCACCAGTGCCTCGGGCTTCTGGTTGTAATCGGGTTCTTGGCCGTGATGCCGCTCGTCTACATCGCTGTCGTCGAGATCCTTCAGGACGGTTCAACATCGCTGTTGTCGTCAACGAACAGCCTCCTTGCCGTTGCGACGCTGCTGCTCTTGCTTTTCAGTACCGTCGTCCTCCTTCGATGGCTTCACCGGCAGTCGCGCATCGCCCTTGCCAAGTGGCGCGTTCGCATCGTCTTTGGCGTTCTGTACGTCAATATGCAGTACGACCACCGCTGCTTCGTCGGTGCAGTTCTCATTCTCGAAGCCATCGTCGCCGGCATCGTCGCGGCACTAACGCTCGACGGCGTCTCGCAACTGCTTGCGCTTATCGTCGTCCACGGTCTCTTCATCCTCCTCATCTTGCACCGGCGTCCGTTCCCGAGCCGAGTGCATTTGCACGCTACGCTCGGCGTCGAAGGTTTTCTACTGGTTCTCTACGGTCTTGGTGCCGCCTTGAACATGCGCATTACGATCCAAACGCAGCTCGTCCTTTCCTACACTGCCGTGTCACTCATCTCTCTGGCGGTTGTCGGCGTTTGGGTCCGGCAACTCGTGCTTCTTGCAAAGTACGCTGGATGCAGTACCAACAAGGCAGCGCCAACGCGTGACGATGCACTCCTCGACATGGGCCATCTGCCTTTAACGACGTCGCGCGGCCGGCGTCGACCACCGGCAGCAACACTCTAGATGTGAAAAGCAAAGCCATTTATGTCTTACGACACGAAATAGATGCGTCCAGTATCATGTCAGAATTGGTTGCTCTCGATACGCCTCCTTGGGACGAAGGGACGGGCATTCTTGGCGCTGGCCCATGCATCAAACTACACTGTATGCCGCTGGAAACAGAGACGTGGATTGCAAAGCGTATATCGTTTTGCTACAGTAGGTCTCGGCTGACAGTCCGGAGTGCGGAACCTCTATGGATGGACGGCTGTGAGTGCATCCACTGCACCATGCACATGTACAGTTCGATCAAAATTTGGTCTCAACGTTGTGGCGATGGATCATGCAGCGGAACGATGCAGCGGACGATGTGGATGTTCGACACAGGATGCGCTCCCAAACGAAAATTCACACCAAACGATTCTGGCGGCTCTATTGGATACGATTCAAGTGGGTGGATTTCCCGGAGGATTCGTCACCAAATGCAGACGCTCTTCCTTGAGCTTGATGCAGGGTTGACGTACAGTACATGTGGGAGGATGTCCTCCCTGCGCAAACGTCGCTACTTTTGTTCATACCCAGCCGTCGTTGACGTCAGGGTACCCGACCAGACGCCCACGGCTGCATGCAGTGCCATTGGCAAGTTTGCGAGCGGTCCTGTGCACAAAAGTTCGAGGAACTCGCAGTGGATGATGCGACGACGACCCTAGCGTCGAGCAAACCTGTGTTACCCAGTTCGGAGCAAGCGCGTACCCACCGCGCTCGCCCCGCAAGCACCGGGCAAAGCTCCGCGCGCGACTGAGTGGCCGGGAACATCGTCCTTAGCACAGCTGGCGTCGCCCACATCTCCGATACACGCCGCGAACATCCCCAGATTGGTGCTCGCCGAGTGATACAGCCGCCATGCGGCGCGCCGACCAGTCACGCACCAGTGATGAAGCCGCCACCTGACAAGCCAGATTCTTGATTGTGGTGAGGTGGAGCGGCCCCGTCTTGGCGTGCCAAAGCATCACACTTGAATTTGCCGTCCACCACACAGAGATGCCTGCACTGCCCTCTTGGTTGTCCTTATCTAAGAAGCGCGCACCGCCGACCACGACGCTTGTTCCCTCTGTCGAGTACTACGACGACGCGGTGCTACCATCGCCGACACTCGAGTCGCCCAAGCGCGACCGAAGCGAATCCATCTCGTCCGAGACAACGACGACCAACACGGAGGACCTGGAGCCTCGGTCAAGCCCCAAACAGCCCATATCGTCCAACAACGTCTACCAGCGCTGCCCACCGAGCCCTATCCGATTTGCGATCAAGCACCAATCGTACAACGAGCGCAGCCGTCCTCTCGCGAGCCCGATTGCCTTGACTGGCCACGCTCGGTGGCAGCCGCCCATGAGCCCGATCCAAAAGCACATTGCGTGAGTGCTCTAGCTGTCCTATCTATTTAAAACGAGGAAATCGTTGATGTGTACCTTCAGTTCATCATTATTGCATTCTGGCTGGGGCTGTTGCGCCAAAGTCGGGGTTGTGAAAACTACGGGAAAGGCCAGTGCTTGCTTGTCAATGACGATGCTGCCGGTAGTCGTGCCACTGTTTGCCTCGATTCCACAAAGTAGGACGCGGACGTTGAGCTGCGTTGGTCATATATGAACGTGTTTCGCGTTATCTTCATAATTACACAAAGACTTCGCATACGTAGAGACTAGCAATCTCCTTTTTTTTCATTCGCTCGCCGGTCCGTGGCTGCGCAGGCGGCGTTGGTCATATATATATAAGTTAATAAAGTAAATAGAGCTAGGCCGCGCGCTGCTATATGCAGGCTACGCGCTAGCGATGGTGTCGAAGCGAGTGCGATCGAGTCACTTGCGGTATTTGACGCTGTTGAGGACGGTCGTGTGCTCTTTGAGGGTCTTGTCCATCGTCTGGATCTTGCTCTGCTGGAGCTGCGTCAATTTGGTGTGGCTCTTGACCGTCGTATCGAGCGCGTGTAGCGTGTCTTCAAACTGCTCGTTCGTCGACTCTTGGTCATTCGTGATCGCGGTCACGCGCTCGACGTGCTCCTCGAGCTTGCCTTCCAGCTCTGCCACAGTCGTCTTTAGAGCTGTGTTGCTCGCTTCGAGTGCTTCGAGCCGCTTTAATAGCACGGCAATGTCGCCTGTCGACGTTGTGGCGGCCTGCTGCGGCGCGGCAGGCTTGTACGCTGGAATCGCTTGACCGTACTTGTCCATCGGATATGCAGGTGCCTTGGTCGGTGCTGCTGCATATCCGTGGTGTGTCGGCGCCGCTAAGGGCTTGTATGTCGCGGTTCCGTGGACCTTCACAGACTTGGACGTCGTGGTTCCAGGCTGATACATTGCCGCCGCCTGTCCGTACGACGGGTGTAGCGCTCCATGTGTCGGAGTCTTGTGCGTCGTCGCCACTTGCCCGTGGTACGACTGCGCAGTCAGGTACGCGTCAAAGGATGCCAACTTGCTACTCGGCGTATGCTGCACGGGCAGCGCCGTCGACGCTGACGTCTTGAGCTTCTTGGACGTCATCTTGAGCTTCTCGAGGAGCGTCGTCGTCGTCTGCGCCGAGAGAGGAACGGGAGGCGTCGCTTCGAGCGAAAGCAGTACGATGTCGAGGAAGTCGCGCAATGCAGCGAGAGTCTCGACCTGGACGCTTTTGGACATTGCTCGTCGATGGCAACTGACCTGACGGCATTTTGACCAATCGCAGCGCGGGGCGAGTTCAGCAACCAATCGCTGCGCCGCCTCGCCTTTTCGAAAACAACCAATCCACGGACCTGAAAAAGAACCAATCAATCCACGCTGTACCGAGCGCGATCCAATCAGAGGCGTCATTTTTGGCGGGACACATCTTTGGGACGCATCCAACATGCACCACTGTCCACTCTGGTGGATTTACATAATTTCTATATGCAGAACTGACTAGGTGTCGCATGCATGGTGCAGCCCACGAGGCGGGAACGACTGATTGACGTACGCGGTTCCTTTGCAACAGTGTAGCAACCACTCTACCATGAGCGACACAAATGCCAAGTCTAATGCCTTTCAACGAGTAGATTCAGGTCTCGGCACATGCGACCTCCTTTCGAGCGTACTGTCCACGGTGCATGTTTCCCGCAAGTAGCAAGCAGGAGACGCGCTTTCACTCTTAGGGCGTCAGAGCTCCCGCACAAACGTCCAGCGGGCTCAACAAACTACGATGGAGGAATACCGAGCACCTCGTGAAACGTAGAGAGTACCAGCTGAACCTCGTTAAGGCCTTTGTCGTTTTGCTGACACACAGTGAATGCAACTGAACGCTCGAAGCCCGGAACAACCCGCCGTTCTTCCTGTGCAATGTCCGCTCTTCGTTAATGCTTCCAACGACAGTACAGTAGCGAAATCGCAGCGAGACTCTCCCGGGTTGCACATCGTTCGAACACGTGCGTCCACTCAGCGACTCGAGCTTGTCGAGAGTTCGTGTACTTTCTACTGACTACTGAATGTGAAAAACGCCATTGCAGGTATCCATATGAAGCGATGCATCAACTACCGCTGTGCAACGCATTTCAATTTCCTTGCCAGCGTTCTGTGTCGGCGAGACGTGTTTGGTCTTCAGCTCGCAAAATACTTTGTCAATCCGTACGCGTATACTTCAAGTTGCATTCTTCCTTGTTGCGAACCATCAACGTCCCATAACTCTATGATGGCCGCGCACTAACATATCAGAAATTGCAATTCACAATCGGGACTGCTCTTGCGTGTATGCTGGCAATGTTCATCAAGTTATTTAAGTTTCTTTCATACCGATTTCTCTGTGGCTTGACGTTGGGTTGAATCGCAAGGCTACAGGGACACGCAGAGCATCACTCACACCGGTGTGTGATGCGCGGCGCGTGTTGACGGTGCTTTGCCACTGTGACGTGGCAGCATATGCGATAGTCAGTGACCATCCGGCAGAAATGAAGTCGTTCAATGTATCGCCGAGGCTCTACGCCACTACAGTAGGAGCTGTAGCATCGCTCGGCGTACATGGCCTCTTGCTTGCTTTGCTTGTTCGCGCCAATGCTGATTGCGGGATACTAGTACGTACCGGTTCACAAACACTATAATAGTCATACATCACAGCTGGGCGTGTCTCGCTTGCGCGCTCGAAGGAGGAGGAACGTGCTGGGTGTGCTCGACATCTGCTGGACGATTCGACAAAGACACGGGGCTCTCTTGCCACGCAACTCTCGCAGCGCGACTCACATTTTCAAATTTGCATCTCACTGAGAAGAATGACGTTTTCCATGTTCCCCTCTTGGTGGCGCTTCAATCGCCAAAGCTCCTCCAAGACGTCGACTGTCAGTCAAGTGCTCATCTCCAGCCGTACTGTGGCAACTTCGGACGATGAATACGACGACGAAGAGTTCTGCTACGGCATGACCAAGATGCGTCGCTCCGACTCGATCTCATCCGAGACAACGTTCATCGAATCGGAGCTTGCGAGCCTCGATGCCTGGGACTTTGATCCGGACGACGAGCCGATGCCGCTCCTGGATGCCAAGGCCACCCGGCGCCCACCGAGTCCGATCATTACCAAGCCTATCCAAGGCAGCGGCGTCTGGGCCTTTCACGAGGACGAAGACGACATTGTGCCACCGCGCAGTCCGCTCATGGCGCGTCGCCCAAACGTCTATTACCCGCCAACGAGTCCGATTCAGAAACAGCTCTGAGCGCATTGTTTCATGAAAGCGAAACCCGAGCGAAGGGGTTTCCTTAGCTGTACTTTATTTAGTCGAAGGTTAATTTATTCATTTGCTATTCTCACTTTCTCTAGAGCTTGGTAACAATGCGCTACCGGGTACAACTGCATACAACTAATTCATTCATGTGAGTGCGCTACACTGGGAAACCAAGCTAGGAAACCGTCGTTAAGCGACGTGCACCGTGTAGATTGGTGATGAAGCCGTGGTGATAGAAATACGGCAGATAGGACAACTTGTCGCGATTGCTTGGAAGCGATATCAGACCCCGCGCGTGCGCCTGCAGCTGTACACCCGCAGTAACTGCGACCACGATTCTTTTACCGGTACATAGCTCGCCGCCGTCGCACACTTACGACAACCCACGAATGGACACTCGTACAACCAAGTATTTGTCCTAAAGCGCGTAATAGTCGACTTCTAATGGGTCTTTCGCACATACGAAGCTCGTCATGATGGCGTAACGACCTCGTTACGAAGCAGTTTCACAAACGCACAAGGAAGTCCATTCCCTGGAATGGCACGCACGGATGGCATCTATGTGTCCGCTATCGGACGTAACATTTTACACGTCAATTATGTTGGCATTGTCGTAAAACAAGCACATTTTCGAAGATACTAGCTAATATATCACACAAGAATTGAGTCGTTTGAAGCAGACCGCCATGGACACGTTCTTTTCACCTCAATACGCACGAGGTGCTTTACTTGCCGAGCCAACGTTTGCGTATGCAGTGCATTTTTCTGGGCCACAAACTTCACTCCAATTTTACTAAGTGCACCATTGAGCGCGCAAAATCGAAAATTGTGGTTCTCAAAACCCTTGTTGCGTGACGAGAGCTCTCACGAGCTGCACTTCACCGACGGAGTGACCAGATATATGTCAATGGGACCGCCGTCGTGGAGAACAGCCTTCATTTGCATCGGGAGTGCTCTATTGCGCTGTGCTCGACCCATAGTGCAACCCGGGGCACAGGATACTCTAGTGGTACAGTGCACCAAAGTGCTCGAATGCGGGTAGGCGGCCGCTTATAACGGAGAGATGACGACGCGGGCTCGTCGACCAGCAGGTAATAGCTATGACCGGAGATGCTAAATCACTCTACTGCAGCCGCAGTGCGCCCGCCAGCTGCCTATGTAAGTGCCCTCTTGCTGACAGGTCTCCGCTAATTCGCAACTACCGTCCATGTAGTGCGAATTCTGAATGTTGAACGCATTATACTATTTGATAGAGACTTGAATATTGTAACTTATAGAAGAAAGAGGCCGCAGTTGCTGAAGGGATCGTGGTCGTCATCATCCAAATCATTCTGCATCGCCTTGGGTCTGGCGTCGACGAGATCCTGCATGGAAAGATACCCACGCTCGACAGTAGCTCGCGCCCGCTTCGTGCGCAACGACGCTTCAAAGACAAGTCGCGCTTGCTTGAGATCGTTGAGCCGATGGATGTCGTCGTTGTTATAGTCGCTCACGTGCTTGTACGTCTTGCGGTTGAAGTTGGTGAGAAGAAGGCGGTCGACGAGCGTCCGGCCCTTCTTGAGTCGCTTCGTGACGCGCATCGGGTCGCACTTGAGCTGGGTCGAGACGTACTGGCGCAGCGTGGTCTCGCCGACGTCGTCTTCGAGGATGCCCCGCAAGAAGCACGAGACGAGATGCTGAAGAAAGTGGAGCTCTGGAGCCGTCCAGCGACCGTAGTTGGCGTAGTGCACCATCGTGTTGCCAGTGTCCGAGGCAAAGGTAATTGGGAAGTGATTCCATCGTTGGCTTTTCCACGACATTGAGAGCGAGCTGCTGCGACGCTGTCGCGAGCGGCAAAAGATAGCCGGGGCGTAGCGTCGAGGAAACTTCGATCCGTTTCGTTGTCGTTGGTGCGTCTTCTTGAAGTTCGTTCCTCCCACACCTATCTTGGGCTCTCTATGAAAACGATCGTAGAAGCATCGAATGCATGGACTGAGAAGCAGCGTTGGTAGCACAAACTAAGATCTCGCTCGCAAGTAACGAGATCCATGAAGTAGCCTCGCATGACGTCGCACCGCGTAGAACCCAGCAGGCACCCGCGCTCCATCGACGCAGGACGCATGGGCCTCAGCGGCCGTTGCCATCGAACGCTTCACGCCTACGAACGTGCGTTCGAGTCGCAGCGACACAACGTGCTGCCAAAGATGCTTCGTTTTTAGATGGAGCGCGAGCCAGCACGGGTGATGTCGATGATGCTGGTACTGGCCATCACTATCTGATGGCGGCTGGCTAGATCGCGGCGCACCCTTTCTACGACTCTTGGAGCATGGCTCTCACAGGCACTGTTGCTGACGGTCGAAGATTGCAAAACATATCTTTCGTATTGGCCAATCAGACGCGGCCATTTTGTGGTTCGTGAAAACGCTGACAAAAGAGGAGACTGACCCGAGGCAACCTGTGGCATACTGGCGGGCCCTGCAGAAGCAGCGATTGTACTAAAAACTCTTTCAAAGAGGACCGAGACTAGTTGCAGCCTATCGCCGCGTCGAGCGCCCAGTGCACATCCCTAAACAGCCTAGCAATGTTCGCCTGGTGCTGTCTACGCGCATCATGCACTAATCCTAGTACGGCGCTGGGCATTGTGCACACAGACTGAATCGTCGGCCTCTAACATTTCCCCGTTAATGGCAGCGACGTTGTCCGAGCAACGCCGCTGTGCAACGCTGTGGGACTGTCGAAGGTTTGACATGGTCTGAGATGCGAAGCAAACGCATTGCAAGGGAGCATAATTGCTTCATTTGCCCTCACACGTCTCCTATTTCTATATGGGTAAGCGATGCCTACGAAGACATAGTCTGCGCGGCTGCAACAGCACGTTTTGGTGATGGATGAGATGTAGCATTGAATTTCTACCAGAGCGCATTATAGCACAGAGCAAATCGGAGCTTCTCGATGTGCATGTGGGCAGCTTAATGGACTTGACGTCGCCTTCCCTCATTCGCGAACCTCGCGGTCGAGCTCACGTAGGCCATTCGATGGGTATCGACTTCGAGTCGCCGAGAATCTCGGCTGCAGCGCAGCTTCAAGTAGCTTTAAAACCACTTGGAGGTCGATTCTCATGCACGTGCCATCGACGCAGGAGGCGTCATCTTCAAGGCAGGAGAAGAGTGGTGGCGCAGAGTAGCAGCCATGAATGTGGTCAGCGCTGCTGCCGCATTGGGGCTGATCCGGTAGCAATCGTACCTCGCCAGTCGCCCGTTCTCGGCGCATCGTCGCTGCCAGATGCGAAAGCAGATACACACGAGCTGGGTTGGGCTCTAGTACATCTGTGCATGTTGGAATTGAGCTTGAGAGCGCGTGAATTTTTGTGGCAGCGGCGTCTGACCCTGGCTCAGAGGTTGAGCACGAGCGGCTGGCAATGGTCGACAGTTGCAAACCTGCCACGACAGTTACACATCACTAAGAAACGACTAGTCGCAGATCAACCAACCACGAGTGGAAGGCGTAGAATGATAAAGAATACTAGTATTAGTGCTTAGACCTCGATGGGCTCGATTTTCACGAGGACATGATCCTCGACTTCCAATTCCAAGAGAGCTTCCCACAGCTCATCGAGCTCGGACGACTGAAGCAACCACGGCTCATCAGGCGGGATGCCATGGTTGATGCTACCGTCGTTGACGTCTTTCTCTTCGAGCGTACCGTCGAGCAGCTTCACGGGTGGCCATGCCGTCACAATTTTCCATTGCGCCGGCGTAAACGTCGACACGAGGTCCTGCGCTTCGTCGTCCGACCATGGCGTGTGCGGTACGAGCGAATCCGGCAAGGCCATATCTACCGTGGTGTCGGACTCCTTGAAACTGGTTTGGAGGCGCGGGCGCGGTGGAAGACCCGCGAGGCGCTCGAGGCGCAGGCCGCGGATGCGAACTTGGGTCGTGCTGCGCGTGGGCACGCACTGCGCGACTCGCCGCCACGGGGCACGTGGCATCGTCACCATGGCTATGTTGAGCTGCATGTCTTCAAGCGCCGACCATGAACCCTTGTGCCGGTTGCCACAAAAGTACGCTGCGGTCATTGGCATCGTGTGCATGCTGGACGACCAAGAAAATGAAAAGTGACGATCGCCTCACGTCGCCCGGTGCGATGACGTCTGCGCGGACACGACGGAGGTTACATCGTCGACACACATGTGTCACCCGGCTCTTTGCGCGTATGTGATTGGTGGTCAGTTAATTTTCGGCTGGCGATACGGAGGAGTAGCCCGCACGCGACAACCAAGGCGCACGGGATCGACGATACGCAACTTCGAATTTCCGTCGGGCAACACGAGCAGGCACCGTGCCTTGTAGTGCTATCGATAGTCTGATTGTTATGACACTTTCTGCTTTTCATCGAACGACGGCTCTGGACCATACGATTCGCGTCGCCGGTGTCCAATCCACCCATATCACATGGCAGTACCTGTCTCTTGACGGTAGGCCAGTAGTCCATACTCGGGAGCGACGGTCGTCAGTTGCTACGCACCAAATCGATCGGCCTTTCCGGTGGGGCGAAGGAAAAGCCTCCGCCCATCGCCGCATGATGGGTACACTGCGCCAGATCTCGCTGCGAGCAAAATCGCAGAGAACCAGCGACCCGCCCATATTGTGTGATCACAAAACATCTGGCTTCGCGTACCTCAAGAGTCTGCCAATCCAGAGGCATTGCTGGTGCATCTCGCAAGAGGCCACAAATGCCGAGCGATGCAACACCCATCGAAATATTCGCACTTGTAGAGTAGCAGAGTAGCCACGCAGGTTTCTCTGCGGAGCTATTCAAGCTACTAGAGGGTTCAATTTCCTTTTGCAGTACGTTCCCGGCACATCATGGCGAGCGCGATCTTTTGTGATAGTTGTGCGAGGAGCATTTATACAGTAAGCACACTCGAAGGGTCGAACGAGTACTCGTTAGGCGAATTGTCAGTGCGAAGGCCAGCACAACATACCTTTACCAGACACGTATTCGTCTGAGGAGAGCTCGAAGTGAAAAACCGCGCAGTTACCGAACACCTTAGACGATGTTCAACATCTCATTGCATTCTCCTCTTGCGACGTCATCGACGACGAGAAGCCAAGCAGACTGACTACAGGGCCAATAGTGATCGGGCAGGGTCGCCCTATTCAGCGCAACGTTGGTATTCCAATGCATCTCCGTCATTTTGGTGCTATCAAGTCTGTGAGTCTGACCACCAAGCTT